CATCTTAGTTTATAAAAGATCACCAATAAGTAAATTAAAAGATGGCAACAGATAACCCACATGAAAGGCATTTTAAAAAGTGCCAACAGATAACCCACAAGTACCATATATATATATATATATATATATATATATATATATATATACAAGCACTCACAATGTATCTTGAAATAACAAGAATACCAAATGACAAAACTAATACTTTTTATTACTTTTATTTTACGTGACGAAAGTAATCTCGTTACTATATCATAATATGCAATTTACTGCTTAAGGGGGAATAACCAAGTCCAGGGGCAGATAACTTTAGGAAATTGTCTTTTTTTGACTTCCTAAATCCGGAGTTCTGAACCCATATTTGTGATTTTCAGAGACTTTTGTTTATTTTTTTGTAATCGATTCATTACTGCTACAATACATTTTATTTTAAATTGTAATTATATTTTACTTAGTTTTATATTCTGATTATATACACACAGCACACACCTTTAAAAAAAATTAGAAAAAATTAATTCACTTCAAATTGGTCATTACTATGCACGTGTACACATACTGAATATGATCAATTATTTAGGCAAAGAAATTTAGATTCGTAAAATTGGGCTCCAACTAGAAACTGGAATTACCAATCAACACAAAAACAAACTAAAATCAATTATAATCGTTTTTAAAAGCTTTTTTAGTGTTTAGTTTGTTTGGGTTTTTTATTATTATTATTAAAAAAGAATATGACACGTTTTTTTTTTCTCCTTCCCCGAACCCCAGCATTTTGGTCAACAATTTTAACAACCCCCCTCTCTCTCTCTCTCTCTTAATCTTATTTCTATTTTCTCTTTCTCCCTTTTTACACCCACCACTCATTCCTCAAATAATGTCACTACTGAAAAACTTTTAACCTTTCCTCTCTCTATCAATTCATCTGTTTCCCACTCTTTTTTTTTCTCTATGTTTTTTCTTGAAAACTATATCAGAAAAATATACCAGAGGTTAGTGATATTACAAGTGACCTATATATATATATATATATATATATATATATACATATATATATATATATATATATATATATATATAACTTGGTGACAGGTTCTTGGTTGAGTTTTTATTTGTAACTTTTGTTTTATTTGTTCAGTTTTCATTTTAAAAAAATAAGATAACAGTCACCAGTTTAAAAAAAAAGAAGCAAACATGGCCACATTGTGAATCAGTGGATGTTTGCTGGTACAGATGGTTGAAAGGCACGGGTGTTGACTTAATGTGGTACTCAAGTTTTTATATTACTGCTGTGGGTATGCATTGTATAACAAAACCTATATGTGCTAAATGTATTCCCATAATTATACAACTAACAAAATAGTTTGTACCAAGAAACGATAGAACCTCCAATATAGGGGAGATTAATCAAATATCAGACTACATTGTAGTTTATCTAAAAAACAATAATGTTTTTACACACACATGTATGTGTTGGAGAAGTATTTAAAGTGATAGATATGAATAGCAGTCTTTCTCTTCTCTTAATTTTATAAAGTTATTTAAATATCATCTCTTGCATGGCAAGGAGTTCTCTAAAGGAACAAGTATTTTCAGCTGTTATTAATGCAGTGAGTTTAAGCCATAATGGTTGACTGTAGAGGAAATATGTAGTTGCAGAGTCTAACTGGTGCATTTAAAAACTCATGCTTTAAGAAGAGACTTTATCTTCACCTATATGTAGGGTCCCAGCCCTTATAGGAAGTGCTTCTAAACTCACTACATTTAATAAAACAATATATGCCTGAACTAAGGTAACTATGACACAGGATTGCTTTGACGGGGTGCTCAGTGGAGATAAACTCACTGATAATAATTTACAAGAATGAATAACTTATAATTAATCATCAAAACTAGCAGAATGATTAAACATGCTTTAGAAGAAGGTTTATTTATATATATTTATTTTAACTTGTAGAGAACATGTAGGAACATCAGGAGTTTCAGATAAATAATGTTGTGGATGAGAGAGGATTTATGCTAACTATAGTTGGATAAGGGTTAAATTTTTATATTCATGAATGAAAGAAAAGGATTTCTATATGCAACTGCATTTTATCTTTATCCCCCATTTATGTGAAATAAAATTTATTTGAAATTATTTATTAAATGAATAATCCTATGATTAAGAAATCCTTATGCAAATTTTTTTTTTTTTTTTTTTAAGTAAAAACAAGACAGGTTAAATGCATAATCCCAAAGAAATCTTTACATATTTCTTATCCACACAACTTTATCTCAGACAGGGAGAAATGGCAATCATTCCAAGAGTGAGAAATGGTATGCCAGTGTCCTCTCTTTCCATCTCTTGCATGGCTTATCACATCTTTTGCCATGAAATGTGTCTTTGTAGGATCTATATATAAAGATTTGTTCTTTTCAGATTACAAGCCTCACAATCAGAATATTAATGCCAGTCTTTATATCTAGCTTCTTTCTTTATGGCAGCTTTCCTGATTTTACTGCC